CATATTCTTACTTTGATGTCATGAATAAGTAGGTCAGGGGTTAGTGCAGCAACGTTTATGTGTTGATAATAGTAAGAAATTTAGGTAATGTTTTTTAGTCTACTCTACTCTACTCTAATCAACTTAGGGATATTTTCTTAAAAAATCTACTCTGAGTAGCTGGAGCCAACTGAGGGTGGCACAGTGGACAGACAGCTGGGCCTCGTAGTCAGGAATACTGAGTTTAAATCAGCCTTGGATACTTACTAGCTTTGGGATTCTGGGTAAGTCACTTAGCCTCAGTTTGCCTCAGTTTCTTTAACCATATAAAGAGGATAATAGCATAGACCTCTCAGGATTGTTGTGAGTATCAAATGAAATAATATTTGTAAAGCTCTTAGCACAGTGCTTGGCACATAGTAGGTGCTATAGAAATGCTTATTCCTTCCCCTTTCCCTTCAATAGTTATTGATGGGTAGTTTACCTACTTTGTAAATGATACAGAATTACTTCAAATTCTTGACATTGTCACATATTTTGCTTAATTACATGCTTAGAGCATTATTAGGGTCTTGGATTATTCTAGCCTAGTAGAATGTAGAGGGGAAATCTTTATAGAACAAAGCAATTATATTTCTTCCTTATGGAAAGTGTAATCCCACAAATTTCTAGAGAAAGACCCTCCTTATTTTAGGCTAGTCTTTTGCATATGTTTGGAAGAGGAAGTAACATGTTCCAGGTAGGGAACAAGAGGGTAGGAAGAAACCAAATATCACCTTCTAAAAAATGTCTACCATTCATCTCTTTCTCTCTAAACTAATTTATGCTCATATCACCCATCATCTGGGATTATTCTGGTAGGTTCCTAATTAGTCTTCTGGTTTCCAGTCCCTTAATTCTTTTTTTTTTTAGGCAATTGGGGTTAAGTGACTTGCCCAGGGTCACACAGCTAGTAAGTGTCAAGTGTTTGGTCTGAGGCCAGATATGAACTCAGGTCTTTCTGACTTCAGGTCCAGTGTTCTATCCACTGTGCCACCTACCTGCCCCTTCTTTCACTCTTTAACCCATGCTCTACACAGCCGCCAAAAGAATCTTTCTAAGACACAAATTCTGACTGTATCATTCCCTGGCTTAAATCAGTTTCTTTGTTTCTAAGGCAAAATGCAAACTCATTGGGCTGACCTTTACACTCTATGTCTTTGTCCATGTTTGTCTATGTATATCCATGAAAATATACATCTCTACAGATATCTTTATGGATATGGCAACATATATGAAAAATGCATCTAGATTACATATGCAAATATATTCCTATCCCATATTTAGATAGGTTTAAGAGAGGCAGAGTGTCATACTGGAGAGAGGGCCAACCAGCTATGATATCAGGGAGACTTGGGCTGAACTCCTGCCTCTGACACATACTTACTATGTAACCCGGGCCAAGTAACTTAATAATTTCAATGCTCACTCAGGAACATTTCCAAGATTATAAATCGCAGACCAAGTGCAAATTTCTATTAGTAGAGGAAATTTCTTCACTTTTATCTATGAAATTATAAAAACTTGTTAAAATGCATCTATACACAGAACATATTACATCATTATATTCTCATAGATAACATGTAGATACACACATGTGTACATACATATGTTGCATACGTTAATACTTTAAGGATCTATTCTGTGGTTTTGTTATTATAGATATTCATTCCATTGACACAAATCATATTCCCTCTGTAACTTTACACATATATAGTCTTTGTTCTTTTTGCCCAACAACAAATATAGTGCATGTGAGTGCATATATGTACATGAGCAGATGTGTTACAGCTACAAAACATACATGCATACATTTATTGTATATGAAGTTATATGGTATGGTAGAGAAACCTGGGTTCAAGTTGTCTTCTGACATGTACTGGTTAATGGGGGGCAAGTCATCTAATCTCTTTGTCATTGTATAGGTAATTCACTAAGACTATAAATTGCAAAGTAGGTATTGATTTGCTTTAGTAGAGGGAGTTTGCTCAGAAATTCTAATGAACATACCAGTGAAATGAGAGGTTCAGTGCAAAATTATGGATATATATATATATATAAATATATATGCATGTACAAATATGTTTATATATCTTTGTATGGTACTATGAATTAACCAAAGAGCAGAGAACCCTATATTAGTAGAAGGAAAAAAGAAACCTTTCAAAGCAAAAAATGAATGATTTTTTGATTATCTGTATTCTCCATAATGGAGTTTATCTACCTCTCTTCTAGGGCAATTGAATTGACTGAGTTACTAAAAACTACTAGGAACCACAGCTGCTAAAGCCTGCTTACAATCATCTATTGTACTCCACGTAAAATCCCTTTTAACTGACAATTTATGAGTTTATGAGTCTTGTCCTGCATAAAGCCTGCTTACACACACCCAACAATTGGGCCTAGTAATTTTAAGCCTTTCGTTTACTACTTATATCTCAAATATTAACCCGTCAAACATTTCTGTAAGTCATTGAAACTGAAAAAAAATTGTAAAGGAAGTTCATTATTTAATTTTAATTGTTTTATTACATAATATAATACACTGTATAATTCACATTTTAGAAGACTTTTTTTTTTTTTTTGGCAAGGCATTTGGGGTTAAGGGACTTGCCCAGGGTCACACAGCTAGTAAGTGTCAAGTGTCTGGTCTGAGGCTGGATTTGAAATAAGGTCCTCCTGACTCCAGGACCAGTGCTCTATCCACTGTGCAACCTACCTGCCCCCAAAACTTTTCTTTCTGATGCATTAAACTCATAGGAAGAGGGACTAGAGCTGTGATTTCACTGGTTAAGAAGACTCCCTCTACTAATTCAAGCCAGCACCTTCTCTGTGATTTAAGTATAGACAGCACAGTGACTTGACCAGGGGCACACGGCCAATATGTGTCAGATGCAGGACTTGAACTTGCTCCTGTTGACTCCAAGGTAAGTTTGTCATCCACTGCACTTGCTGCCTCTCATGAAACTCATATGTTTACAAAAATATTTATGCCAATGCTTTGTAGGTTTTAATTTTTTTTAAAATCAAGACTTCATATACTCTGCAGTCTCTACATTTGGTGTTCTGAATGGTTTCATGATTTTATTTAGAAACTTAAGTCCCAACTACATGTTACAGGAATTAAGCTGAATAGTAAGGTTTTTTTTTTTGTTTTTGTTTGTTTGTGTGTGTGTGTGTGTGTGTGTGTTTTATACCTTGACAGAGTATTATTTCTAAAACCAAAAAAAAAATCTCATAGAACATTAACGAATTTTAAGACCATATTATAATTAGCATGATAATTTTATGCTAGAGAAAAATCAGGCTTTTGTTAACAGTTATACTCTTTTTTGCATATTTTGATAATGTTTATTTTTTAAAATTTGATTAAAAATAGACTTTTCAAAATCTTTACATTGAGAACAATAAAACAAATGACAGGAATGAAGCCTGAGCTGTTTGTTTGGTTTTTAAGGCTCCAGCTTGGTGGTAGAGTTGGCTTTTTTGTTGACCCTCTTTCTAAAAGTAGGTCATTCTCTCTTTGCCTGAGCTAAACTGGTTCCAAAGCCATTACAGCCACTGCCCCTGTGCTAAGAGACTTGGGCTGGTCACAAAAGATAATGCAGCTCAGGTTTAACATCAGACAAGTTTGAATAAACTTCTTGGAAACTTGGGATACCCTTCCTTGCCACAGTATCATAAATACAATGTTCAATCATCTGAAGAACAACCAAAAAAAAGTTTAAACAAATCCCACAATAAATTTCCTTTAATGATGATCTGAGGGGGCTAGTGACATCACCAGCATGGCTTATAATGAAGCTAGAGACAGTTTGCACCAACAGCTTCCTTCAGCCTTCCCCTTTCTATGAGCTGCCAAATACATTCCCTTTTTGTTTCTGTTATAGAATACGGATCTGAGATGATTTAAAATCCTGCATAAGTGCAGTTTTTCTCATATGCTATGAAGAACTTGTAAGCACACATGGCTTCTCTTTTGATACATGCACTGCCCTCAATTATTTAAAATAAGCATTTTCTTTTTTTTTTTGGCATGGTAACTTACTGTTTTCTCTTAGTTGTGTTTTCATCATAAGATAGAAAAAAACATATTTATATATGAGAATGATGGCAGCAGAATTCTGACAAGCTGAGTTTACATGGTACATTGTTCCAAAGAGCGTTTTGAGTAGAAAATACAGAACCTATTATACAAACCTACTTTTACATTTGAGAAAGCATTAGCCTCAAAGGAGTAATAATGGTATGCCATTAAAACTGAGAATACATTTTTCAGTATCTGCATTTAAAAAAAAACTTTATAAATATGTAAATTTCAATTCAATAAATCCCAAATAAAATGCACTAAAAAACTGATATGTAGACAAAAGTTTATTTACACCATACAACATTTTAAATATTTTATACACAGCTGCAGCAGAGAAAGCTACTCTGAGCTTTCTGGAGAAAACTGCAATAATAAAGATGTGAAATATATTATTCATATAAAAGTGAGATTATTACTTTATTGCATTTAAAGCAATGAAGAATGTAGCTCAACAAACATTCATTTAATGACAAAAACTTTGCTTTTATATTATAAAGTAAAAAGTGTAGTAATGGCCAAACAGACTGTTATAAACTTTAAAAACTGCATAAATATATACATTGTGCTTCACGGTAAAGTTTTCTGAAAACTAAACCAAATGAAGCAGTTACAACATGAATCGTTGCTTGAGGTTTATCTATAAAGATTACCGTACAAATCCATTCCACGTTTACTTACAACACAGGATGGTAAGAATTGTACACCTGGTTCTCCACTAGCTTGCCTAGCGGGACGATACGGTACAAAAACACCACTGACGTTTGGCACATGAAGATCCTGACATATGTACGGTAGCCACATGTCCAGAGAGGAATGTCAGGCTTCCCAAGTCTCGAGTGTCAGTGCAATGAGCCATCTTGTTTCCGTAGCAGTATGTTTTGCTTTCTTTCTGTTACACCTCTGTTTGAAAGTCTCCTTCCTGCACATCGAGAGGCAAATTCAGACACTTCTCCCATTCTGCTGGTCTTAGTTCCAAAGCATCTTTTGCCTCTGTGTCTAAAACATTTATTGTGGTGTAATGTTGATATTCACTAGGGTTTTTGAAAGTGTCCCATGGGCTCTTGTTTGGTGCTGGGTTTTCCTGTGAAGAAAAGGAGAGAGGAAAGCCATTTATGTGATGGATGGGATTGGTGTCTTTTTTTTTTTTTTTTGAGCATGTCAGGTAAGTGCCTATTTGCTGCTTTAATCCAGTTTAAGCAATTACAGAGAGGATCTGAAATTGCAGCCAGCTGCCAAGGAACAGGCCTGATTTGAATTCATTTGCATTGAAAAAAGAGTAGATGAGCACCTTGTCTCTAACTTGTGATTCATGGAGCTAATCTGGAGGAGCACAGAGAATAGACTCATTTAGAGAAGGAATCTTAGTAAGATTAGACTCTTAATCGCTCAAACACTAGTTTTGTGGCTGTAGGAAAGTAACTCATTTAGACCCAGTTTCTTCATCTGTAAAATGTGAAGAAAAATGGCTTCTACCTCAGTGATGAGATTCGGTAAGGATCAAAGAGATAACATATGTAAAGAGCTTTCCTTTATAATGCTAGCTATTATCATTATTATTATTTAGAGCTGAAATGGGCCTAAGAGGCCCCTTAGTTTCACAGGTGAGAAAACTGATACACAGAAAGGTTACACAACTTGTCCCAGATGGCTTGGCTCAGATTAAATGTTGCTGCTTCATTCATGTGTCTGTCTCTTCATGACTTCATTTGAGGTTTTCTTGGCAAAGGCACAGGAGTGGTTTGCCATTTCCTTCTCCTGCTCATTTTACAGATAAGGAACTGAGACAAATAGGGTTAAGTGACATGCCCAGGGTCACACAGCTAGTGAGTGTCTGAGGCTGTATTTGAACTCATGAAGATGAGTCTTCCCAACTCTAGGTCTGGTTCTCTATCTACCGTGCCACCTTGCTGCCAGGCCCTTTAATTCTAAATCTAGCATTCTTTCCACGGTACCACATGGTCTATGGTCATTGCCTGGCTTGTTTGGGGCATTTGCCAGGGCCCTGAGGTCTGATAAGGAAGGGAAACTCAAGTTAAATGATAGAAAGTCTGCAATTTGGTGATAGAATCTTCTGAGATATAGGCAAGAAGCTCAGATTATTAGATAGCCATTATAAGATAATAAGACTTGCCAATGATTACACACCTTGGTAGTAAGTGGTCTCTGTAAGTGGTCTCTAGATCAAAATCAAAGATGTCTATCCCCTTTGAGCTCTTTCTCACATTTCTTTTCTTTTCTTTTCCTTTCCTTTCTTTCTTTTTTCTTTTTGTATTGTTCAAATACTTCTCATTTTCCCTTGCTCCATATTCTTTCACTCCTTCCATTGTACAACTTTACATAATCTCATGCATATTTTGGATACTCATTTCCAGTTTTGCAAATTGTTTCCTTCTGATAGTTCAGTTTTCTGGGAAACATTTCCTGAATAACAGAGCTTTTGAAGACCCCTCTGCCAAATAGTCAGCTATTTTTCTAGAATCAGTTACTGTTTTTCTCCTAATGCTTAATAATATTAATAATTTTAGATACTGCTTTAAGGTTTGCAGACTGCTTTATATATGTTATCTTTTTGATTCTTGCAACAACCTGGAGAAATAAGTGTTATTGCCCCATTTTATAGATGAAAAAACCGAGTTTGAAAAGTGGTAACTTGGTTATCTGAGAAATGATTTTGGAAGACTCATGTCTTCCTCACTCCAAATCTAGCACTATATCCACTGAGCCATCTTATAATGAATTTATCATGCCTTCTCTGAGGGAAGGGTGCATCTCGCTATTGATAGAGTCCTGATCATGTCTATATGGCATAGCATTTGTGCTCTTTTGTGGTCATGGATATTACTATGTTTAAATGACAAGTTATTTGACAATTAGTACAAGATGAAGAAACATGATTATAGGTGGAGTTTTATGTAAGAGCTTTATAGCAGAAATCATTATTGACATCTAAGTTAAAAAAAAGAAACCATTCATCAGACCAATTTGTGTGTTACCAAACTGATGTGAAATTACATCATATTGATCTGAATGTCATATTGCTTAGTCCTATGAGGAAACATGAAATGGAAACCGTGCTTTGTACAACTGCCCAGTTATTAAATTTAATCCAGAAATTTGCTAACATGAATCATCATTCTGGAGAGGATGTTGCCTATTTAATGTCCTCTTGCTAAATATGCCCATTAGAATAAATAATGAATAGTTTTAAAAATAGTTTCACTTAGGATCATAAATTTAGAGGGCAAAGGGAGTTTATAGACCAACTAATCCAACTTTTTCATTTTACAGAGGCCTAGTGATTTGCAAAAGCCCTGCAGGTAATAATTGCCATAGCCAGGATTCAGCTCCACATCCTCTGATTCCAAGTCTAGTTTTCTTTACACTTCCCCAGCTATATTACTTTGAAATTTAAAATGATTTTACTCCTGAGAATATGGACTGTTTATCTTCATTAATTCTTTTTTTAAGAAAAAAAAATTATATTTATTCTAGATTAATATAATATAATTTATATTATATTTATTCCAGTTTAAATGTATTTAAAACACAATGCAGATTGTTTTCAGATCTAACATCTTCCATGTCTTTTCTATGTTGGCATATCTAACTTAAGAAGCTTGTGTCTGTGAAAATCAAATATGGTTCCTGGAAAGAAGTTAAACATTCTCTCCTTTCCCCACTTTCTTATAGGACTGCAGGATTATAGATCCAAAGTTGAAAGGAACCTGAAAGGTCATTTAATTCAAGCCCCTCTTTTTACATTTGAGGAAACTGAGTCCCATTGAGGTTAAGTAATTTGTCCAAAGTCATGTAGGTTGTGATTGTAGTGATTAACTAATGAAGGACATAAAATAGAGGTCTGGCTTATTTGCTGAACTCCATCCAGTGACTCCACCTCTTTTGGAAGTTTTAAAAAAAAAAAGTCTGAATGTAACATTAGTATAAAAACTGGATCAACCAGAACTGAGCTCACTAACTCTCTTTAAATATTTGGAATGTTCCCCTATTTTGCTTTTTATGAGAAGACTAATACCAAGAACATAAAAGTGATATCAGGGAATTAATTTTTGAATAATAGCTTTGATGGCTATTCCCTGGGGTCGCTGAAAAACATTTGTATTCATTCTTACTTAAGAGTCTTGTCCATTGGTGTGCTGGAGGCAGCTGGTACCAGCTATAACTGTTAAATTTTCATTGTGAGCATTTCCACCTTGGAAATGAGCAAATACTACAATCAGGGCTTGATTCACTGTTTTGTTGATTGTCTCTAGACTAAGAAAGTGATGGAGAAAATAGTAATAATAAAGATTAAACTTAAATGTGTGCTGTGTACACAGTTTCTTTTGGAGAGCCGGTTGATAATCATCTGCCAGCACACCCCTGGTCTTGTTTAATTTCTAAGAATTTGTTTTAATGAATCATAGGGATAGAAGCTGGATCTGATTTCACTGGCATAGAGTACTCCTGGAGGAGGAAACTCCCTACCAATGAAGGTCTGTACTTTCGCTATAATATATAGCTTTACAGAGCTGCCTAGAGCACTACCAGGTTAAGTGATTTGCTCAGTCACACTGCTAGGATATATCTATTAATGGTAGAACTTGAAAACAAGACTTTAGCTCTTTGAGGCTAGGTCTCTATCCACTATTGCATACTGCCTGTCATAACAAATAACAAGAGGACCTAAACAATATTGGCCTCATTTTCGGGCTCTTCTTGAACAACTAGTCACTCTGCCCTTGCCTGATTTGTCTGTAGTGCCCACCTCTGGAGTTCTGAAGGAATGAGTCATGTCCTTGAAGGCGGTCTTTTTGTGGTGAGGAGTTATCATGACCATCACTGAAGCCTCACAGTTTGGGTAGGGGGAGCTGGAAGAGGGCAGGGGAGTGAAGACAGAAGTGGCAGGTAGTAATAACTGGAGGGCACTTGCCAACAAGGTATGCTTTTTTAATAACACTGAAGATTGGAAGGGGAGTATAAAATGCCTGCCTTCAAGGGTAGTCACGATGATCAAATGATATAATATTTGTAACGTGTCTAGCACGTAGGCATTTATAAGTCCTTCCTTCATTCCTTTATGCTTTCCTCCCTCCATCTATTCCTTCCTTCCTATAAATACTCAATGTATTAAAAATCTTTGCACAATGTAAAAATCCCATTTCTGCTTTTTCCACCTGATATGATAGCCTGAATCACCTGGCTTCTTTCTGTTCTCATTTCAAGCCTTGTGCTGATGAGATACAGTTCTCTGAGGGGAATGGGTTTAGGCTGCAGCAAGAAGGATTTTGAACAGCTATTTGGGTGTGACATGCACACACATACATTTAAGAGAGAAAGAGAAGAAATTCTTTCTCTGGAGGTCATTAAACAATGATCTCTCTGGGGTGATTTGATTACTATCTTGCCTTGAGCAGTGAAAATGGACAAGATAATCTTTCAAGTTTCCTTCTATCCCTAAAAATTTTATTATTTTATGAAATTGCTATCATTTAGGTGTTATAAGTTAGTAACCAGATAAAAAGAAAAATTGCCTAATTGATATTTTTAAAATGTCTTTTCCTATCCAATTAGAAGATTTGTCAGCAATAATATACTACTACAAATAATGTGACTCAGGGATAATGAACTCATATCTTACAAGTTCATCATCAATAAAACAGAATAAAGAACTCTTTTTTTCTCCATTCTTGAAGAGTTAGGGCAATAATTATCTAGTAAAGACAGTTTTCCCCTCCCCTACCTACCATTTAATGCAGTAATAAATGTTTATAGACAACATAGAAATTTAAGTAAATAGAGAAAAGTCATGCAGCTACAGAGATGTTTAATCAGAAGGGCAATAGCAAGTGTCAGGTTACTGAGATCCATATATTTGTACCATTAATGAATTAGTCCTCAGACTAGAGACTAAAGGGGAAATCAGGATTGCATACAACACTGGTCAGCCAGCTGGATTAGTTGCATGTGCCTTCTGGATTTGATAGGTGTTGAAAATATGATTTCTTCAATTTATTTCAAATTCAGCTTTAATATTTTTGGAGGAATTGGTGAATTTACTTCCACCTAATATCAAGGCAGAGAACTGTGTTAATGTCATTTGTTGGCCAAAATTCTGTGCCCAAATTGTTAGGAGGAAGTGGAGGGAAGTAATCAATTTCTGAGTATCAAATGTCTGATATAAGTACAGCACCATCCTAGGCACATTAGGGGATACAAAATAAGTGTAAAGTAGTCCTGCTTTCAAGGAACTTACATCTTTAGCAGGCTAGATGAGGCTGATAGCTGGAACAATCACTTGCTAACTAGTACTGCAATGAGAAGAGTTCAACTTAGCTGAGATTTGAATAAAGTTAGGGATTCTAAGAGGTGGATGTTAGGAGGAAGTATATTTTGGCATAGGAGACAGCTATGGTCAAGGCACAGACATGAGAAATTGAGTATGAGGGGGCTACAAAGGCATCTTGGTAACTGATTCTTTGAATGTGGCAGTTCATGAAACAAGACAAAAAATAAAATAGACTCGTCCTTTTTTTTTTTTTTTTTGCCTCCCAACCACAGTTATTGCAGCCTGGAGGATTCTGGTCGGGGGGGAGGGGGAAGGGTGGAAGAGTGCTAGAGAGATAGGACTGAAATTGAATGTGGACAATGCTTAGGTTTCAGGTAAGCAGAATTTGGAGGTAAGGGCATTCAAGGTACATGGGGTAACATGAGGCATTAAGATCTAATTTATTAGGGTGGTTGTGAAGAACAATGAGAGGGCTGACCAGCCTAGAACAGTGTATGACGTGGAACAAGCCATCTTTGCTCTTTGGGACTCAGTTTTCTGTTCTATAAAATGAGGGCCCTTTGAGATCTATGTGAAGATGCTATAGTAATGCATCATGGAGTTGTTCTGCATCAGTGGAGGAAATAAATACACTTATGAAATCATGGATCTTTTGAAGTCTGCTTTGCGTCATGTAAGTAAGCCTTTGGAAAAAAACACATCTTCTTCCTCATAATAAGTGAGGTCATTCCATAGCATAAAGACAGGTGCTTCCGTCACACTTGTCCACTAACCCACTCATCGGTTCATGGATGGATTCTTCTCTTTTCTATGAGTGGACATCTTGGCTAGCCAGGAAGATTGTGAGTTTTGCATGGGCAGAGATCATACCTCCTTGGATATATTTCCTCCACATTCCCCTGCAGCAACCTAGCAGGGTCCTGGGAACATAATACAGTGGGTGGGCATTAAATACTTGGTGTACTGAGTTCATATTCAGTGAATTGAGCTGACTAAATAAGAGTATACTCACCATACTGCTTGTATTTGGTATGTCCCGAAATCTGTCCAAAGTCTGAAATTTCTGATTTAGTTCCTGAAATAGTTCCATATGTCTCTTCCTAGTATGCATGACCTTCTGCAAGAGAAGACAGAATGGTTTTCATTCCTAATTGGATTTTTGCTTTTTTTTTAGATTCATTATTTTCTCTTTGCTAATAAGGCAAATTGAGTTTGGCAGGAGTCAGGGGGTCCCTGTAGACTCCACAAATGTAAATGAGTTCCACCAAATCTCCTCTTGGTCTCTTATTCAGCAGTTTTTGTACATAAAATATTGAATTTTCCTTCTACTTACAAGACTGCCAAAAATAGTTTTCTTGTGATAGTACAGATGTATTACAAATGCAATCACCTCAGTGTAAGATTTTCATCAAAGTCAAAACTTTTTTTTAGCAAAATTGTCATAAAAGAATATGCAAATGCATAAAAATATATATTTACAAAATATGCATATATAAATCTGGATGTGTGAAGCACACGAGACCCTCAATTCCTGACAGGGTAAATATTACTTGTTATACTTTATTTCTATAAACACGAAAATCTGATCTGGCTGTACTAAAGGGGAAAGGAATCCCTAGTCCTGCAGTAAAGATTGATCCAAGACATTACAGTAACTGAAATGTATGTAGGGTCTAAACTCTTGTGTGTAATTGCTGAGGGTTGATGTAGCTTCACAGAACAAGAATCACCTTCAAATACATGAAGTCTTTCCAAATCTCCCTTAATTCTAGCAATTTCCCTCTGTTGATCTCCAATTTATCCTGTACATAGCTCATTTGCATATGGTTGTTTGAATATTGTTTTCCTCATTAGACTGTTACCGCCTTTACAACAACTACCTTGCTTTTCTTTGTATCTGCAGCACTTTGTGAAGTGACTGGCTCATAGTGAAATCTTAAAAATGATAACAGCTGATTGATTGACAGGGAGTCACAGGGCAGTCATTTCTTTGTTCCTTTCTAGCCTGTACTCCTAACTTTCCCAGGGCTTCTCTACATTGGACTAGAAGCCTTCTCACTCTGAAGCTCATTCCCACTCTGTATTTCAGACATTAGAAGTATCTGCCATCCCTGTGGCCTCTCCCTCCGACCGGTTGGTGCCTCCCAGGACCTCCACTTTAAGGAGGAGGCCCAGGCCAGCCATGTCCTCGTTTCTTGATTTCACTTTTGTATTATCTACTGCTTTGATATGCTGCCCTCCATACTGGTGCTTTCCTCTGTTCTCTCCTCTCACTGCCACCGGCATTTCAGCTTCCCATTATGTGTTGTATTCCCCTATTAAAATGTAAGCTTCTTGAGGGCAGGAACTATCTTTCTTTCTGCTTATAATTCTATTTTCAGTGCTTAGCACAGGGCCTGGCACATAGTAAAGGATTAAGAGATGCTTGTTAACTGAATGACTACTTACTTGAACAAAGTAGTCATTAGAGTTCATGGAATAAAATGTGAAATTCAGTAGTTCCTCAAAATACATAAGCACCCTCATCCAATTTCTTTATACTACCCCCCGACCCACTACTCCACCTTCAAATTTAATGCTATTAATATTACAATGACTACTATAGCATGCTACAGTTACAAAGTGTTTTCATGTAATATTCTCAAGAGTTGTGACATAATGAATAGAAGGCTATTCTTGAGGTAAGGAAGACCTGGGTTCAAGTTCTGGCTCTAACACAGATTAATTGGGTGATCACAGGCAAATGAATTAACCAACTTTCTAAGACTCTAAATTACAGATAAGTTGTCTATATGTATCTGTATGTGTGGAGGGATTTTTCACATCAGGGTGTTTCCTAAACTGATAAAATCATTGCTATGGACTTCAATGCTCCACAAATACATATATAGTCTTAAATTATTTGGGGGAATCTATTTTGCACTGAGCCTTTTTGAGAATGCAATGTTCATAAAATAATAATAGCAAGAAAAGAGTTATGTAAGCAATACCATGAATTTGCAGGATGCAGTTTATAAATATTGACCAGAATGAAGTAATTTCCAACTCTTGAGGATGGAAACCAGAATTCAAATAAAATTATCAGTTTTTAGAAGTTAGAAATTGGTGAAGCGGGCATTAATATTTTCAGTGTTCCTCTAGGACCAGATACATAATCTGTTTCCCTAGCATGTTCAATCATAGACTTTCTGGTTACTTAATTTGCATAGGGTAATACAGGGATAGGGACTGAACTTGTGATTTAGAGAACTCCTAATGAGGAAAATCCCTCTCTCTTATTCCCTTATCTGCAATGTACAGTCTTAGAGTTATCTTGATCACTGACAGGGTAAGTGTCTAGTGCAAGGTCCCATAGCCATTATGGAGTCAGAGGTCTTTAACAGAGCTGATTTGCATACATGTGCTATATCAGTAAGTCTACATGTCTAACTTAAGTATCATTTAATTTCTTAACACAAGGATTTGTTTTGAAAATGTTAAAGTGATATATCTTTGCCTAAGGTCTGTAGTGTCTACTTTTGTCCCCAAAGACGTTCATGGAGTGTGTTTTGGCTTCTTAGGAACAAGAATGAAAATGGATCATGAGAATTCAAATTTTAATTTAATAACATGAAAGGATCTTCTTTCCTACACCAATACTGATTCACATCTTTTATACACAGTAAACTTGGATTTAAGCCAGTGTCTTCTCTGTTCATTCTACTTGTGAGAGATGTTACCACTTAAAATCTCATAATACCCAAATATCCCAACCCTTGACATTTTTAGCTCCAGATATTCACTGATGACAAATCAGATAGTTGAGGACAGGAAAATGGCAGCATTGTTCATGATAATAGGATGAAACATAGCAAGCAATTATAGAGCCATTAGCTTCACATCAGTTGTGGGGAGCATAACACAAACAGAATGGCAGGACTTGGTGAAGAGCCACCTTGCAAGTATAATTTGACTAGTGATAGATAGTAAAGATTTATGACAGGGAGAATTTGCTGTAACAATGTAACAATGGATAGTTTAAAAGACAAAGTGTACTTCGTTGGCAAATGTAATACAGTATATTCTGTTTAGGTAAGGTAGGAGCTATTTTTTTTTAATAATAAAAAGTGTTACCCTTAGTGCCAAGTCAAAGTCTATTAAATAAACTGAGGATAGATATCAGAAGGCTTAAAATAATTTGGCTTGTACAATCTTGGCTTCAACTCTAGCCCAACAACATGAGTTTCAGTTGATGACTCTCCCTATTTACATTTTTTTCAACTGGGGCAAAACAAACGTCCCATTGTGACATTTTCCTTGTGGATTTCAAAAAATACTAGTGTTAATAAAATAATGAGAGACAGTAGTGTAGTGCAGCCTTGGAATCAGTAAGACCTGGGTTCAAGTCCTGCCCCAGACACTTACTAGTTATGTGACCCTGGGCAAGTTACTTAACTTCTGTCTGCCTCAGTTTCCTCCTCTGTAATATGGGGATAATAGCTCCTACCTCCTAGGTTTGATATAAGCCTACAATGAGATACTATTTCTATAACTATTTTGATACAAATGCTATCATCATCATCATTATCATCATCATCATCCTGTGTGACCCTGGGCAAGTCATTTAACTTTTCATTGCCCCCAGGCAACTCACTAAGATTGTAAATTATAGATGAATTTCTGCTATCAATGGAAAGAATTTTCACACAAGGAATTCATCAATGGAAACACTAGTCCAAGCCAAAAACAAAGAGAAATCAAACATCTACCATATAGTATAACAGGATCAGATTTTCTAGGATTACCTTGTCTAATAAAGTCAAGTTCCCTTCATTAATTTCTCTCGACTTCATTTTCCTCATCTGTAAAGTGACACTGTCTCTGAGGTTCCTCCTTGCTTTATATCTCAGTTATCTGTGATATAAAAGAGCATTTCTTTTTTGCTTCTTGGATTTTTTTGGGGGGGACAATGAGGGTCAAAGCTGTAATTTCAATTCTCTATGAGGAAACTCCTTCCACCAATGAATATCAACACTTACTCTTCAATTTGTAATCTCAGCCATTTAGTTGTATGGGTTCACTGATGGTTAAGGGACTTACCCAGGGTCACTCAGTTTATGTGCAAGAGAGGATTTGAACCGAGGTCTAACTGACACTGTGCCAGGCTCATGATGTACTAGATAGGCAGCACTACTTCTTTATTACTTATAAGCAATAGAACTTCTCTCCCTCTCCCCACCCATGGACCTTTATTCATTTCTTTTCTCTCATTTCAGTTTATATTCCCCTGATTTTCAGTATCTTTTAATCAAGATTTTTGAAGATTTCTTGTTTCTTTTTCTCACTGGAGCAGCTCTTCCTTTCCCCATTTATTCCTTTCTTCATTTGCTTTCTATTGAGTTGGTGTCCTAACCTTATGCTCCTACAATTTTAAGTTCTTCATTTTTTATTTCTGCCCCTTTGATAATGCCCAGCTTTGACACACCTCAATCTCTTTGACTAACCTCTTGAACTTATTTGTCTATTCATTTTCTTATATTTTCTTCATCTGGTCAGTCGGCAGAGTACTTGAGAAGAAGTAAAGCTATTTCATCATCAGTGGGGAACAAACCTAACCCCAAGTCTATTCTAGGAAAAAGAAGATGCTTGGTTTTCCTGGAGGATTTCTAATCACATTTTGATTGAATGAGGACTATACCTGAATTGTATGAATAAGTGCTTATGGGACTGGGATTCATGCGAGGAACTAATCAACAAATTTCATAAAGCACTTTGAGGACAGAAAGTTCTACTGTATACATAGTCACAAAATAATATTAAAATGACTGCAAAGCTTTTTGGATATAAAATATAATTGATATGGTTTGTTAATGGTTCTAGGTTTAAAAAAAATGAGTACATAGAAATTATTATTAGATGCTGGATGTTAAACATTTGTGTTCCTATCTTTCTACCTGAAAGCATTTACTTATTAATAGGTCTAGCTGTCAAGGAATCACTGGCTTTTTCAGGATCATCTTGACAGTAAATGCTCAAAGCAAAGGGCCCCCAGAAATTCTGTGAGAGGTATGTCAATTCTTCCTTTACAGCATCTGTCACATCTATAGTTAGACATTGTCAGTCCATCAACAAGCCCTT